AGCGGCAAGTGGTTCCTAAGACCGTGACTGACCGCGGCCGAGGAGGAAGTGCTCCCACTTTGCCAGCGGGGACGGGGGCTCACAGAGGGGGACATGGCTGTCCGAAGCTCCTGCACACCAGCGCCGGCCCCCGGGGGCCCTGCTGGCCCGCAGACGCCGCTCTGCACGCCCCCCTCCACGGGTAGGGCCGACTCGGCTCCCCGCGCCGGCCCCCGGGGGCCCTGCTGGCCCGCAGACGCCGCTCTGCACGCCCCCCTCCACGAGCAGGGCCGACTCGGCTCCCCGCGCCGCCCCGGGGGCCCTCCGCACCCTGGCATGGGGCCTCCCCGTCAGACGGCGAAGGCCTCGGCGAGGAGCCGCGTCCTGTCCAGCCCCGGCGTACACAGCCCCGCTCCGTGCCCTGGGCGTGTGGGGGGCACAGGGCGCAGTCTCCTGGGGGCTGTCTCTCTAAACCGAGCGGGGCATGGCTGCGCCACGCTGCGTGCGGCAGTCGCGGAGGCCAGGGTGCCACAGGGCTGCTGGTGCGGCCCTCAGGTTTGATGCTGAAAGACTTGAGACAACGCCGCCGCAGGTTTTCACTCAGCCTGCAGGAAGGGGCAGAGGTTCGGGACAGTGTTCTGACTGGAAGGGGCCTGAGACCCTTCTGCCCCCGGGCGCCCTGGCAGGACCCTGTGCTGAGGGACACAGGGCGTCTGAGCACTGGCATCCGCTGCAGGCGGGCCCCCGGGGCGGTGCCCGGGGAGGGGGAACTGACTTCGGGAATGTGAGCGGCGTCCCCAGCCTCCTGACGACGCCTGCCTGGGGCCAGCGCACGGGTGTGTTACCCTGGGAGCTCGGCCTCCATTTCAACAGCCCCACGGTAACCTCCTTCTCACTGGGGAAGGTCAGCCAGGCCAGAGGGGAAGCGGCAGCCGGTGTCCCTCCGGGCCAGGTGGGGGTGGAAGCAGGGACTGAGGCGCAAAAGGTGAGTGAGCTGCCGTCCAGCCCCGAGCCTGTGGGCCCAGGGTGAGCCCGCAAACAGCCCGCTCCCCAGACCTTTTCCCGATCCCGGGCGCCACCCTCTCGGGGCTATTTTAAGCCCCAGGAGAAGTGACAGCGACTGGAAAGGCCCACGCTGGCCTCACCCTCCCGGGCGCCCTGCTGGGCTCCCGCTCGCTCTAATTAATGCAGGAGGGACGTGCCGCCTGGCCGCACGGCGAGCAGGGCCGGTGGTGAAATTCCACCTGCAGCCCGAGGGGCCGGCGGCCGCCTGTGGACAGAAGGCTCCGTCCGGGGCGGTTACCGAGGGCAGCGGAAGGGCCCCTGAGTGTTTCGTTTGAGAGGACAGAACACGGGACAGCCTGTCCGTTTACGCGTCTAGTTCTGTACCCTCCTCCACACCTCGGACTACGTTTTACCAGCAGATCGCTTGCCCATGACGGTGCCGCGCTCCTCTGGAATAAACCGCCCCCCCTTCGGTGGCTCCCTCCCGCTGCCTAGTCCACACTCACAAACAGAGATAAGGCCGCTGCCTGCGCACATTTGTGATCTTTCCTCCTGCAATATTCCCCAGGAGATAAGTCTGAGGCTTTTAAACCAGGGCTGCTCCGTGAAGACTACGCTTCATTACATGTCAGAGAGTGATCCTATCTCTGGAAACGGAATGGAGTAAGCTAAAGAGCTGATAAAAATATGTTCTCTGTCGAAGCCCAAAGTGGCCAAAGTCAGCGTTACACAGGCACAGTGTAGGCAGAGAGGACAACGAGGGGCAATCGAGGCCGCAGGGTCACAGAGCTGTGACAGGCCCGTGCACACTGCCCGGCAGGTATCGGTGAGCAGAGACTCGGAGGGACTCCTCTTAGGACAGCACAAAACACGCATAAAATTCAGATAGATCCTGAACTTCCACCCACTGCCCTGCGGTCCAGAGCGAGCCGCCCTCTTCCCACACTCGACTCCATTCACTGAAACAGATCTGTTTATCTAAGACTCCACAGCCGATGGAAAAAACCCCAATTCTAGAATTCTCTTTTAGCTAAAGGAACCACACGGCTCTCTTCAATTCTGCGGCGCGCACTTACAATAAGACCATTATTAAGTTTAAGCAACGGTTTCAGTACTAAGTGTAGTCGGGAAATGCCAGCCCACCACAGTGGAGGGGCCTTGAGCTCCCCGCCCCGTTCAGGAGTGGATCCTGAGGGCAGGCCCTGCTGAGCGGACCGCAGAGACAGGCCGCAGCGCACAGGGGTGGCCGGGGCTCAGGGAAGGGGGCTGGGCAGGGCCCGCCTCCCTGCCCTTCCTTGGCTCGGCCTCAGTAGGAAGGAGGGGGTGCTGGGGCAGCCCCGCTCCGGGGAGGGAGCCGCCAGCACAAAGCTCTTGACACACGCACCAGGTGCGATGAGGAACTGAACTGTTTAATTCCATTTCATTGTGATTAAATTTGCGCAGCCACATGTGGCTCACAGAGCCAGCAAGGAAGAGCGCTGGCCTAGGACACAGGAAAGCGGCGTCCGGGAAAACGGGAGAGCCAGGGCCCGGTGCGCCTACCCTCTCCCCCAGGAATTACGGGGGAGCCCCGTTAACTCCCCCCTCAAGCGCCTCAGCCATTTACAAGCGCTGTCTGATCATCTCCTCCCTCGCCCTCACAAACGAGGACAGCCTGTGAAATGCAGAAGTAGTGAAACGGCTTTTCTCTGGCTGCGAACAAGAACTTCAGAATGGAAAGAGTTATTTAGAATTTTTAAATATCTCCCTAAATTGAAATACAAACTTTGGACCAAATGTTTACAACAGAAGACTGTTTAAGCCGCTTAAAGATTTTTATCTTTGTTGTTGTTGTTCTCCTTTGAAACCTCCGAGGGAGGGAGGAACAACCTGTAAACAAAATTCCCAGCGCCCTGTCTCAAAGGAGGTTCATTCAAATGGCAACTGTGTGATGAGGGGGGAGGGGCAGGGGCGGGGCGGGGGTATGAGCTGCTCCTCACAGCCACAAGTTGGAACATCCAGAACATGTTAAAATGCATCAGCCTGGCTTGTGAGATCCCTCTCATCTGTGTTGCTAAAAATCGCCAGCACGAGCATCCCTCGTGGCCACGGGCCACGTGCTCTCGCAAACCGCAGGCTAGAGCTCCGATCGGCAGCCTGTCCTAGAGACGTGCCATCAGGGGATGCGGGCGCCCTGCACATGGCACCCCGAGGCCGCGGCGCAAACCAACGGCCCTGAGTGCCAACTGGGTTCTTTCTGAGATGCCAAAAGACGACGCTTGGTGCCCCGAGTCTGTCTAAATGACATAAGATGGTGCTGGTTTTTACAAAGGAAGTTTCTCGCATCCCAAGCCATAGGAGACAATTTTAGTTTTAAGACTAAAAAAAATAAACAGACCCCATGGTTTAATAGGTGACAGAGACGACTGCTGTAAACGCAAAAAAGATCTTAGAACAAGCACCGTGCCTGTTCTAATAAATAATTTCAAGAGCAGGGCGCGTCCCCGAGCGTGGGGCCTAGGGGATGGTGAGGCCAGGCACCCGCATCGAGGCTGCAGGTGTCTGTGCTGGGCTCCACCCTTTCGGCTATTTACCAACGACTTGCCCAAGTTCAAGTAAGTGCGTACAAGGGCCACTGGCACGGGCACAGCACGGGTGTGCATGGCAGCAGCACAATGGAACTTAAGCGTCAGGCCCTGCGTTCAAGGCTCAGAGTCGGCCCCACCAGCACCAGCCAGGAAGCCAAGGATTTGCAGCAATTTAGGCAAAGAAAAGGCCTCGGGTGCAGGCGCAGGTTCAGGACAGGCCCAGGGAGACACGGCCGCTCCAGCAGCCGACTCACTCTCCGGCTGCCGCAGCTGCCACGACAGCGGCTGCGGCTGGTGCTGCGGATGGTCCAGGCCCCGCACTTCAGGGGGGCAGGGCCCACTCAAGGTGGCTGGGGCCCCGCCCCGCCTGTGAGTCAGAAGGAGTCACCCTTTCGGAAAGGGAAGGAAGCCAGACTGCCGTCTGCGAAGGTCTGACATGGGGATGAGGAATAGGCTTGTTCTGCGTGGCTCCAGGGGACAGAAAGAGAGGCAAGAGAGGGGAATTTTAGTTCAATGCAAGTAGGAATGTGTCCAGGACGAGGGCTGTTCACACCTGGGCTGGCCCACCTGGAAATCCATGGGTGGCCCCGCACTCCCCGAGGCCAGACCTGACGCCAGGAGGTTTCCACCTGCGGGAGGCCAGCCTGGGTGACCCCGTCCACTCCCCGCCCCCACACGGAGCAGAGGGCTCGCACAGACAAAACCCCTGCCTGACGCCCGCATCCCACCCGAGTGCAGACCACCGCTCCGGCGCATTTCGTCACGTGATAAGCTGCGGCTGCCAGGCCTTTAAGGCGAGTCGGGCAAGAGCAGTTACTAGGAAAACAAGTTGGGGGGGGGGCAGTCTCCGGTGTCTCACTGGGTCACTGGAACGACGCCCTCAGGCACAATGTTCCGAGACTATACGTTCTAGGTAGTTTCCCGTATCAGTTCCCTAAATAACCTTCTACACTTCAGTCTTAACAGACTCCAAAATCAGAATGACTGAGCTTGAACAGATTTTCTTCAGACTTCCTGAAATTCTGCAAAGGTTGCAAGCGCGCAGGCTGGGCAGGAAGTTCCACGGCTGCCCGGGCGGGCGCCGTGGAGACCTGATCCCGGTCCCTACCCACGCAGGGCGGGGGCTGTGCAGAGGGGAGCGACTTACCTGCAACGGCGGTGGCCACTCTCCCCACTGTCCCCGTGCTTCCTGAAACCCGCCGCTGCTGAGTGACACTGCAGTGTTCATACCAGACGCCTAACGCGGTTTGGGTCTCCTTCTAACTGTGCCCTAGACGCAGATCCCAGATCCCAGAAGTGCACGACCCAATATCCAAACTCAAAACGCTGTCAGAGAAAGCACTAGTCTGAGAGATTCACAGCGTTTCTGCCAAAGCCACTGCCACCTCCCCCCTCCCCCACGACTCCCAACAGCGCACCCCATACCGTCAGCCGCGAGGCCAGCTTTACCTTTCTGCACGTGGATGATGTCTGGGAAGTTGGCCAGGTGGCCCTGGTACAGCGCCAACAGGTCCATGACGGGGTCCAGGTCCTGCCTGGGCTGATCGGCAAAGAGCTCCCCGATGGCATCGTAGGCGTCCCCGGTGAAGGCAATGGCCTGGTTCAGGCCGGCCGAGAAGGCCTGCTGGTCCAGCTCGAAGGCCTGGCTGAGGCCGCGCAGGGACTGGCCCACCTTCTGGTACTCCTTCTTGAAGCCGGTCACCTGCTTGCGGGCGAACTCGGTGGCCGTGTGGTTGAGCTGCAGCGCGCTGTCGTCCATCTTCTTGGTGAAGCTCTTGAAGCCGTCGATGCGGCTCTCCACCTCCTGCAGGTCCAGTGCGGCGGCGGGCGGTGTGCTCAGAGTCAGGAAGAAGTTGGCGCCCACCATCTCGTCCTTCTCGGCCTTCCTCTTGCCTTGCTTCCAGGCCTTCTCGTCGGTGCCGCTGGGGCAGGTCAGGAAGTGCTGGAAGACATCGCACTGCGCCAGCACCGGGTGGCTGGTCATGTGGTTCATCCACCAGATCAGGCCCTTCCTGCGCTTGGAGATGAAGTCCTCCTCAAAGCGGCCAGTGGCCTGCTTCTCGGGCAGGTGGGGCACCGAGATGACCGGGAACTTCTCAGCCAGGCGCGCGTACAGCCAGTCGAAATGCTTGTAACGCCGGTGCACCGGCACCTGCGTGTGCGTGGGCACCAGCTTGTAGGAGATGTAGCTCTTCATGCCCTTGAACTTGGTCTGCTTGGTGGGGTCGTCGATGGTGCACTGGAAGGGGTAGGGATTCTCCTGCCACTCGGGGCCGTAGGGCCCCAGCACCACGCAGAGCTTGTCCCCGTCCTTGACGAAGCCCGACGCCTCGCCCAGCACGAAGGCCTCCCCACCCGACTTGACGAAGGTGGAGAAGCGGTTCAGGTTGCGGCTTACGGTGGCCGAGCTCTTGGCCCCCGACGGCTGGTGCTGCGCGGGCGCGGGGCCGCCGCGGGAGCCCAGAGACAGGTCGGAGCGTGTGGACAGGCGGTAGCGGCCGGCGCCCCCCGCCGACGACGAGCCGTCCAGGTCTGGGTAGGCGCCGCTGCCCTGCGCGCCAGGCTCATCCGCCACCGTGGAGCTGTCGTCCCACTCATCGTCCCAGTCGTCGTCGCTGCCCTGGCTGGCCTGGTAACCGCCGCCGTAGAGCTGCTGCGGTGACGGCTGCAGGGTGCCCCCGCCGTAAGCGAGGCCGGCGCCCGGCGGCGGCTGGAAGGTGCTCGGCGGCTGGAAGGAGCTCGGAGGCTGGAAGGCGCCCAGCGGCGCGGCGGGCAGGGGCTCGAGGCCGCCAGGCGGCACGTTAGCGTAGCGGGCCGGGGCGCCGGGGCCGCCGTCCGCCACGGGGACGGGCTCCGGCGCGCGGATCACCTGCACGTACGAGGCCGGGAAAAGCCCGCGGTCACCGCGGCTGTTGATGCCCTCGAGCCAGCCCTCGATGTCCTGCTCGCTGCACAGGCTCAGCACCTCGTGCTCCCGCAGCGAGATCTCGCCCGGGTTCTCCGACCTGAAGTCGTACAGCGCCCGGGCGCGCAGCGCCATGGTCCCGGCCTTAGCCGCCCGGCCGCCTAGGGCCCGCGGAGGGAGCCCGAGGCCGCGCGCTGCGCCCCGCCCGCCGGTCGCGCCCTCCGCCCGCTCCGCGCGCCGCCGTCTGCGAGCCGAGCCGCCGCCGGGGGGCGGGGCCCGCGGCCGCCCACGTCCCCAGCCGCGCTAATCGACCGCCGAGAGCCGCGCGCCAGGCAAGAGCAAGCGACGTCCGTGCCACCGCCCGTCTCCGGCCCGGCCCGCGCCGCCGCTGCCCCCTCGCGGCCAGTGCGCTACAGTGGAAGCCGGGGTGACAGGCGGCGGGTGCAGGTGGCTCTTCAGAAGTGGATGGGCTCAGACCTCTTCGGGTTTTTAAGTGAGAAAACGTCTCCTGGAAGGGAAGTTAACACAGTGTTTGCATCCCCGGTAAACGCTCCCACTCTGAGCGCTCGGGGACTGGTGAAGGGCTGCCACGCGCGGCAGCGATTGAGTCGTGAAGGCATCGGACGCCTTGTCTGGGCACCGCCTGTCAGCTCCCGTCCAGCGGCCCCAGCGGGAGCCTGAGGGCGACGCGTGGCCGGGAGGGCCAGAGCCCAGGCAAGCAGGTGCTGCGGGTGACACCGAGCGGCGGCGCGCAGTGAGTGACAGCTGGGGCTGCGCTTCAACCCACCTGCAGGCCACGCCTACCTGTGTGGCGGTGAGTGAGCCACTTACTGCACCTAACGCCAGGTAACCTCTACTTTGCAGACGAGGGAAATGAAACGGGGACGTTAGTCTATGGCGGGCTATTTGGCGACCCCTGTGGAAGGCTTCGCTGCCGCTGCCGCTGCTGCTGTGATTTGGAAAGCAAACACCCTGTCCGCCTTCATAAAGAAAATGTGGGTCCCCGGCCACTAGCGCGGGGTGTGCGCACCAGGACGGTGCCCGCGGTCACACCCAGCTCCTCTGAGATCAGTGACCTTCCTCCAGCGCGCTCGCGCGCGCGCTCTCTCTCTCTCTCTCTCTGCATTTGTATCATTTTTAGGATAAGTAGATTTTAAAAATCGCTGCCTGAAATAGTAACCAACTCCAAACTCGTGCAGTTGCTTTGTTTCACATCGTTTTTCTCCCCCTCGTCTGTGATTTGCCCGAAGCCTTTTTGCTCCTCATCTTCTCTTATTAAGTCTGCCTAATTATCCCTTCGAAGACACCTCTCATTGGGACTCGGCATTCATATGTCATTAATTTCAGCCCATCTTCTGACCCTTTTCAAGCGATTCTGGGAAACAGGCCAGGAGAGCATGAAGTTTCTGTAAGGGCCATGGTATTCCAAGCATCCTGCACAAAACCACCAGCCCGGGAAATCAGAACTGCTCCCATGGTGTTTGTTTATAATGCAAACCTTCATTCCTTCCAGTAAGCAAATTCTGAATGACAAGGCCCTTAGCTGAAAATTCTGGGGTGGGACTTCTCACAGCAAGCAGGAGAGGTCCTTGAACGCCAATGTCAACAATGTATGTGGCCAGAAACATGAGGTCGACATTTACTAAACATCTACAACACAATTTATTTTACTTATTCACTTGTGGGAAGGTGAGCTATTTATGATCCATGGATTCAGTTTCACCCTTCCTGTTCATCTGGAAGGGGCTTCTCAGACCATAGAGTTTACCGATAGGACATACAACTGGCCGCGGGCCAGGCTCTGGCAGGCGGAGGCGACACCCCCTTTCAGGTGAGAGTGTCCCCGGAGTTCTGGACGAGGCGAGCACAGGCGTGCCGGCCCGCTCTGTGGAAGCGGAGTGCGGGGACCAGCGGGTGTCGGCGCTTTGGCAGCCCCAGTGCCCGGGCGCGCGTTCAGCTTCTGGAGCCTGGAGGGAGGTCAGGCATCAGACTTCCGGAAGGGACAGGGATGCGCTGCTGAAGGTGCAGGGGAAGCCTTACCCCAAAGGATTCTGGGTGTCTATGAAATGTATTCAAGTGTTAGGAGCTGATGACCGATCGCTCAGGGATGTGGACACAGTAACATGTTTTTAAAAGCTTTCTCTAGAAATATGGAGCGTGTTATTCATACCTTAAATGACATAGCCATCATTATAATGATCAACTGTTTCTATGTTTTATGCTTTTGTAAAAACAAGTTATCGGAGGACACTCTCCCTCTCTTCCCCTAGAGAGAAGCCACAATGAATTCTTTGCTATTTCTGGAACAAGCCCATATTTGTGACATGGGTTTGTTGTTTTTTTTTTTAATAAACTTTTTTTTTTTAGAGAAGTTTTAGGTTGACAGCAAAATTGAGCAGAAAGTACAGAGATTTTTCCTACAGACCTCCCCCACCAGCCAGGCCTGAAAAGTGAGAGTTCTCACTTTACCTTCTCTGGGACTCCTCCTTTCCTTCTGTAGACAGGAGTTTCTAGCTGATAGCATTTTTCTTCTCTCCAAAGAAGTCTTTAACACTTCTTACAAGACTCCTCTGGGCAACAAATCCTCGTGATTTTTATTTGTCTGAGGGAGGCTTCGTTTCCCAGGGTACAGAATTCTAGGTTGGCGTTTTTTTCTCCCAACACTTTAAATGCTTCCCTCCACTTCCTTCTTGCCCACACGGTTTCTGACTGAGATTTGTGCTCCTCTGTAGGGGAGGGTTTTTCCCTCCGGCCTCTATCACGTTTTTCCTTTATCGCCCAGTTTCTGTAGTTTAAAATGATTTGCTCGGGTGCAGTCTTTTGTCTCTGTCTCTCCCTTTCCTGGCACGCGCGCTCCTTGGTACTCTCTGAACTTCTGGGTCTGCGGTTTGGTCGGTGACAATCGGCCGAAGCTGTCAGTCGCAGCTTCAGATATTTCTCTTTTGCTCTCTCCTCCGGCTGGTGCCCCCATTCCGTGTACGCCACATCGTCTCTGGCTGTCCCACGGGTCATGGATATTGTCCTTTTACTCAGGGTTTTTGTTTGGTTTTTTTCTGTTTGCGCTTCAGTTTGGGAGGTTTCCACTGGGGTGCCCTCCCGCTCGGAGATTCGGCCCCCCCTCTACTGTAAGCCTGCCCCCGGCGCGCCTCATCCCCGAGACAGTGCCTTGGGTCCCTAGCATTTCTTTCTGGTTCTTTTTTAGAATTTCTCTCTGCTTACATTTCCTGTCTGTTCTTGAATGTGGTCTATTTGTCCATTAGAGCCTGTCACATATTGAGGACAGCTGTTTTCAGTTCCCGATCTGATTACTCCAACACCCCTACCCACATAGAGCATATGAATCTGGTCCTGATTCTCCCTTCTCTCTCTCTCTCTCTCTCTCTCTCTCTCTCTCTTTCTCGCTCTCCCTCCCCGCCTCTCCCCCACCCCCACCCCAACTGTGGTTTTGACCTTTTAGTATGCCTTGTAATAGTTTCTTGATAGCCAGGCACACTATGCGGGGTAAAACGAGCTTCAATAGAAAGGCCATTGGCGCTGTGCGGTAAGGCAAAGGAGAGAGGCAGCGTGTTGTCAGCTGGTGAGGGGTCTCAGGCGTTTGCTGGTCTGCGCCTCTGGACCGGGAAGCTGGCATGTGCTCCCCAGCCTCCTCGTCCCCTTTCTAAGGGACAGCGTGGCCAGCCCGGGCTGGAGTCCGCTGCTGTTCCTCCCCAGGCCCGCGAGGTCTGGTAAAGCTGCAGCAGGCTGATCTCTGGCTCCGTAGCTTCCCTGGAGGGCAGGCTTTGCTAAGAGAGGAGGGCGAGCTCCAAAGGGCCCCTCCCCTCCCCCCGCAGGGGCCAGAGGGGATTTCCCTCTGACCGGGCACCCTGAGAACCTACTAGAGACCCCGGAGTGAAACTCCCGGATGGGAAGCGAGAGGGCTCCCTGGAGTCGTGCATAGCGAGCTCCCAGCAAGTCCGGGATTACAGGTGCCCCCCGCGCCCGCCCCCCCCTGCGCCAGTTCCCGCAGAAGTTCCTGCTCTGGTGAGTTGCGATTCTTGACATTTACTGGTCGTCGATCTCGCTGACTTGGGTTCAGTGGTTTGCCCTGTGCCCTCACTTCCCTTACGGATCTAAGAAGGGTTGATTTTTCCGGTTTTTTTTTTTTTCAGCTTTTTACTTGTTGTTAGTGGGGTGGGGAGGTCAAAAACTAACGACCCTCCCAGCGCTGCGGTTCGGCGAGTTGAGCTCATCATCGAATGCCTGCGAGACTGGCTCACAGGGGAAAGCGTCCCACGCAGGACGGAGGCGCCTGGCGCAGCGCCAGGGGACAGGAGGCCCGAGGACGCACGGGCCGGCGGGCTTCGGTGCCGCCTGGACGGAAAGGAGCGCCTGGGGCAGGGGCTTCAACAGGAAGGCTGGCCATGGGCAGGTGGGCGAGGAAGAGCAGACAGGCCGTTTTCTGGCCTTGCTGGCGCCCCAGGGACAGCGGGGCGTGGGGGAGTCTGGGGACGGCTCTGCCTGCGCCCTCCCCCTGCCAGATTCAGTTCCTGGGACCGCGCTGGCTCCCTTGAGGCAGGTTTTTCTGTCTGAGTCCCTTTAGACGGGTAAGGGGGAGGCCAAAGGCTCCTCCTGGGTCTTTCGTTTCTTGACAACCTGCTTAACATCAGTATCCCCAAGCGCATGTGTGGCGGTGCCAAAACTTTGGGCCCCCCATCAGAATGGAGCGGCAACTTGCAGGCCTCTGCGGCGCCCACCCAGAGCCAGAGCTCGCCCCGCGGTTCCGTCTGCGGTTCCGCCGCCGGGCACCTCGCTCCCCAGAGGCCCCACATGCGGGGCCTTCCCTTGGTTCTGAAGCAGCGGGGCCCCTCCACCTTCCTTCCTGCTCCCTCCTGGGAGAACCCGGAAGTGAGGTGGAGGGAACCTGGTCACCAAGTCAGCAGCGGGCCGGACCCTGTGAGGGAAGAAACCTTGCTCGGGCAGGCCGCAGGGACAGCGGGTCGGCGGTGTCTGCGGCAGCTGGCTTTAATCGCCCCGGTCAGCAACCCCGCTCCCTCCCTCTCGCCCTCCCTCCCCGCGTCCAGCACTAACTTTGTTCATAGCACGTGCCACCTAACACAGGCGCGTCTATGTATTCACGGTCCCCCCCGCCCCCGCTGCCATGACAATGCAGACCTCTTCAGGGCAGCAAGTTCGTTCTGGGCTCTGGGGATACAGCACTGAACAAAACAGACGTGGCAGGCGCCCCACGGTGTGTGTTCAGT